ACAGAAAGTTTATTTCAATCCTCAAGGATTGGGTGTTCTTCCACCAGCATGCTCTGATGAAGGGAGACAAAGTACAGAGGCAAAAAGCCAGGTTAAATAACCCTAATGGGAAAATTCCCCCTCCCACCAACTGACCAATATCTGGCTTAAAATGTAAGCTTGAAAATCTACCCCCAGAGACAGAGAACTAAGAAACAGCATACATCTCCATATTTAGAACCTTAGTTTGCTGCCAAAATGAAATGATTACAATGTGATCAAGCTTGATGCTGCTGTGGCAAGGTCACTGTGACCAGAATATAACAACAGGATACAGAGGATTTCAGGGGTTTCAGTCTTGGCAAGCTTTAACTACTGATGTAGCACTGGGAGAAAAGGGGGACTATAGAAATCTATACTTATACTATTCTTCCTCCTGAACTTATCTCCAAATTCAGGATAGTCTTATCCCAAACCTTAATTACATTGAGAAGTCTTCATATGGACATTCCACTCAAGTCCTACTATCTATATACACTGTCACCTATAGGTCCCTATGACTAGTACTGAAAAAAAAAATACTCTGTGTTTCAATTTATAAAAAAAAAGGAACAAATAGTAATATCAATAATAAAGGAAAGTCAGTACAAAAGCAACTCTCCTGCTCTCTCCAATTCATTCACACTACATTGAGTATGGAGGATTATTTTTTATTGGGGATGATTTGATTGGCTAAGAGTATTATATTTTGCAGCTAGCTGTTAAGATTACATCTGTTAAAGAGAATCTTCAATGTATAATCTCCCCACTTTAGAGACAAACATACAGAGTTAAGCAGAAACCCACAAGCATCAAGATAACTCATGGTAGAGCTATATCTCAGGGTACATTTATTTTGACCTCCTTTGGATGGATTCATTAAAAGTGAAGGCTGCTGTGTTAAAGTGGAAAAATCATTAAATTGCTACTGTCAGACCAGTCACTTGGTGATCACTTTGATCAAATCATTTCACCTCTGTTAGTCCTTCCTTTTTTTGTCTGTAGGATACTAATCCTTGCAATACCCACTTCATAAAATTGTTTTAAGAGTTAAATGAAATGTGTTAGTATTACAGAAATGTAGAGGTGGTGGAGTGCACAAAGGTTGCTTGATTTAACGCTTTACCTGAAGAGAATTCCCTCTCCACAGTATTTCCTGATAATGAAGCATCTGACTGAAGACTACCAGTCCCTTCACAAACTCTGATTCCTGTCATTCTAGGCAGCCCACATCCATAAAGTTATTAATTTTTTCCTTTAATCTTTATGAAACATTGACCCATTATTCAAAGATTCATTCCCTTTATTCAAGCAAAATCAAAGACATGATGACAAAGGATGATCAAACCTTTAAGCATTTTATTACAAGGATAACGTTCCCTAAAAGTTTACTTTCCACTCAAATTGCTTCAATAAACTAAATGCAATTCTTCCCAAAAATCAATATAGCATGTACTATGTATTAGGAAATTTGTTATGGCATTAAAAATATGGGAGGAAAAGCCTCTTTTTTCAAGAACTTATTTTCTGCTGTCCTCTGATAGGGTATAGTTTCTGGTTATTTCACCATCCAGTTCTCCATCCCTTAGGAGTGATACAATTTGACAACTCCCTTTCTAAAATGCTGTGGCCAGAATGAAGCAAAATTTTCATAAACTATCTAACAGCCCATTTTTTAAGTGCCAGAGAGGGATGGATCAGGCACATTTAAAAGCCATTTTCCCAAACTGTAGTCAAACTGTAGGGACCTGCATACCTGAAAAGTAGTCCTCTCCCTCCCCAGTACTGGGGAAGAGTTATAAAGTCTTGGTTTACCTCCTCATTAAAACATCCACCAATAGGGATTGCTAGGAGAGTTCTCAATCATGTGCTGTCAGGTCAATCAGGAAGCAGACACATTTAGGGATAAAAACCATGGCCAGCTTTCATTCCCAGTTTTTAGCACAAAAGGGTGGCAAGACAATAAGACCCAAGTTGCATGGTCCTGCTAACAAAGGTTGTCTCTCTGGGATAATGGTCTTTGCTTTTCCTTTGTTCAATTTCAGTCTAAATAGATTAGATAAAGATATATAGATGTATATATCTATATGTACATTTACACATGTACATGGATATATACATGTGTATATATAGCTATATCTACATATACATATATGTTGTATACACATATACACACACAATACACATAGGCATACTGTGTGTATGTATATATGTACAAGTACACATATAGTGTGTATGTGTGTGCATGTGTTTGTGAGTATTACATAGCAATCTCTTTCTGAGTTCTATGGTTCTATGAATGAATTCACTTGTTTTATTTGCACGTCATCATTCTAACTCATCTTGACCTTACAGTTTACTGAAACTCCCAGATTTTCCCATATTGTCTAGCCACTTTTAATCCAACTCACACCAATCACAATGCTGTAAAGGTATATTCATATCATATTGCCTTGTGTGTAATCTTCCTTTCTGCCTTATTCCTAAATAATTTCTCCCTCTAGATCAGAAATCACAATAACAGTAACCTTGCTGACAATATAATTACAATCATTTGCCTTATGACTTCATTCACCATCCTGGTTCAAAAAACTCTCTGCCTAGCTTTAATTCTCCCTGTTATATAGTCTTCCCCATTAGAACATAAGCTCATTGAGGACAAGAATTATATGACTCTTTATATTTGTGATTCCACTTTTTATTTTGGTTTCTGCAATATAGTAAATGCTTATTAAATCATTTCTAATTTATTCATTATCCATACATCTTATCCAGCTGCATATTTTTAGGTCAAATGTAGTAAGTGCTCTATGGTTCAGACAACCTGGCCAACTGGTTCTCTTTAGGTGACATTACATCTCCCATCTCCATGCTATAACATAACCCTTCCCCAGTGCCAAGACTAATAGCCCTCCTAAGGTTGATCTCATAGAATTCATAGCTCTATTCAAGTATCATGTTAAGTATAATCTCCCATAGAAGATCTTTCCTGATTTCATTTTAAGTGCATCTGTCTCCGTTAGTACTTTGTTTTTACTTAACGATGTATGTATTATTTCTTCCCAGTATAATTCTAGTCCCTTAAAGGCTTAAGGATAAAGACTTTTTTTTCAATTTAGTGTCTTTGTATCCACAAAAGCTAGTATTGTCCTTAGAATATATTATATCCTAAATAATTTCTAGCTCTTTTACATATATTATTAATGTTTTTTCTAATCATGATTGCTTCATTATTCTCATGCTTTAAAATCTTTTGGTATCTTACTTTTGTCCTTCAACACATTAAGCTTCTTTCCCAGTTTTCTGTTTTCTCATCTTTGGTAAACTTGGTGATTCCCCACATTGTCTATGCTGTTCTCCAAGAGAAAGATGTAAGTGTTTAAGAGAAAGCAAAGGTCTAGGTATCACTTGAACAGAGGCCATCCAGAATGATGCTGACCAAATAATGCCCACTGTTTTGAAGTCATCCTTAACAATATTCAGAATCCACCTAAATATATCGTTCCACTCATATCTCCCACTTTTCACCTGGACCTTTTGTCTGTTGTGTTTATAAAATACATTATTACTATGGCTAAAGCATTCCACTATTATGTCCATCATTGGAAAAATAAAAAAAAAGTTTTATGTTCAATTTAGCTATCAGAAATAAAATTTGGGCAAAGAAATATTTTTTACTATTATCATTCATGTTAATATCCACTTCCAATTATTCTGTTTATTTCTTATCCTAAAGCATTCTTTGTTTCCATAATTTTCTCATGGCATTTTTAACTTCCTCATTCCTTAGTGTGTAAATTAAAGGATTTAACATAGGAGTTATCATTGTATAAAACACAGCCATGGCCTTATCAATGGGGAAGGTTGTCATAGGTCGTAGATATGCAAACATACATGGTACAAAGAACAAAATGACCACCGCAATGTGGGATACACAAGTTGAGAGAGCTTTGTGCCGCCCTTCTGAGCTGTGAGTCTTCAGGGAGTTCAGGATGATGATATAGGATATGAGAAGCATGAAAAAAGTGAGTATACACATTATTCCACTACTGGCAGCAACAAAAAGGCCAAAGGGATGGATATCAACACAAGAGAGTTTCAGCAAAGGAAAGAAATCACAAAGAAAATGGTCAATAACATTGGGACCACAGAAAGGTAGCCAGATAATGAATATAATAATTATAATGGCATGAATAAAGCCTCCCATCCAGGCCAATCCCACCAAAAGAATACATACTGATCTACTCATGATGGTCAAGTAATACAGGGGCTTACAGATGGCTACATATCTGTCATAAGCCATCACCATTAGCAGGATGATCTCAGCTCCAGCAAACAAATGTTCTGCAAAAAGCTGGGTCATACATGCATTGAAAGATATCATGTTCCTGTCAGAGAGTGAATCAACTATCATTTTGGGGCCCATGGAAGAAGAATAACAACTGTCTAAGAAGGATAAGTAGGAGAGAAAGATATACATAGGGGAACTTAGAGTCTGACTGGTTGCAATGGTGATGACAATCAGCAGATTTCCTACCAAGGTCAACAAGTAAATGAATAAAAATACCACAAAAAATATTTTCTGCATCTCTGGATTCTGTGTGAGACCCAGAAGAATGAATTCAGTCACATTATTTGCACCATCCATCTTTACATTTTTGGTGATAGTCACATAAGTGAAAATTGGTTCACCTGAAAAGAGAGAAAAAAAATTACAATTAGATATACATTGAATTAAAGAGCCAGGTAAGACAGAATCCAAATGTCAGAATTTCAATCAAATCAAGATATGATTAAGCAGCCATTAAGTAAAAACTATACCTCAAGAAGACTCCCTTCTACACCATTCCTAAATAAGGTTATTCATATTTTTTTTGTTTAATGGTCTCCAATGAATGTGAATCTGTTTCCTCATGAAGCATCACATTCCAATTGGAAATTATATAGCCTCTTTGCCTGTCTTTCTATCTTTGCTTATAGAATATAATTCTATTTTTTGTTCAAACAGAAAACATGTATAAGTAAAAAAAAAAGTTGTTCTCAGAATTCCGTTGCTGAATAAGTGGAGGAATATTACTTATAAATCCTAAATCTCCAAAACTCCAATATCAGTTCAGTATGCACCTCTACTTTTATAACTAAAATTATATAAATTCTTTGACTTTCTGTCCATGAAATAAATTATATCAACATTTACAATTCTGATCTGTTAACTGAAGAAAATGATCATCAGCGAAATGAACTTTGAACTCAAAAGAACATACATTTTGAATTTGAAGGGCATTGTATCATCATTGAGCCTAATTCCCTCAATTTACAGAAGAGGAAACTGAGAGTTCATGAAACAACACGATTATTCAAAGGTCACACAGGTATTGATAAGAACTCAAAATTTGTAACCAAGTCCTCTAAACCCAAATCCAGCATAAGTTACGCTGCATCATTTCTATCTCTCATATTTCATCTAAAAACTAACTACATATTCATTTTATTTTTCTACTAATTTTATTATTTTTCCTTTTTTTATACTCATTTAAAAGTCACTGACATATTTTGAATTTATATCACTTTCATTTTAGAATATATCTTTTTTTTTCTTGTCCACTCAGTGAGCCATACATTACATCATCAACAACAACAACAAAAATAAGAGTGAAAACAATAAAAATGAGCTATCCAATATAGTGAATATAAAAGTATATAGTGTTCTTCACTCATATTTCTCATTTGTAAAGAAATGAGGGAGATATATTTTTCTTCTATTTGGTGACAAGCTTTGTTGTTATAATTACATAGTATATATATTTTTTCTTTGTTATACTTCCCAGTTTTGAATTTATATATCCAATATCAAGATGAACACATATTACAGAAAGATATCATCTACTCTATCTCTCTCTCTGCCTCTCCCTCTATTCCTCCTCTATACACCAAAGCACACATAATCAAACATAAAAGAACAAATTCATAATGAACTATGATGCAATGAATAAAAAAACACACTTTAGAATCCAAGAGAGTTTGGTGTCTTCTCATCCCAATGTAAGCATAAAAAAATAAATTTATATTTATTGAGTATAACATTTTTTCCCTTAAATTTATTTTTTAAACCAATGTTAATTCCAATCAGGCAAAATCAGTTTCAAATACTTCTAAAGTGCTGTGGTCTCCAAACATATTTGCATTGATATCTCAAATAGTCTTTGATATTATTACCTTTATTTAGGTATTCCCTGCTCTGGAAAGTTTTCAAGTTTTTCACATTCTAGTAGAAACATCTATAAGTTATCCTGGTGACCAACTTTCTGATGAAAATTCCTTAAAACCAACCTGTACTACTCAAGTCCTAATGATATAAAATCATGCTTGACTAGTTACTCTTTTGGCAAAGCCTTCAAGAAGGATGACTTTACCTCAATATTAATACATAAAAAGAAAGAAAGTTGAGTGGAAAAAGTTGTGAATATAGAATTTTCATATAGAATAGAATAAGGAGACATTCATAGCAAACATAGATGGCAGCTGCCAACAAACAATTCAAAGAAGAATTCTCCTCAATAGAATTAAACTACATACATAGCAAATTGTTGGTTTCTGTAGAAAATTGGAATGGGGAAAGTCAGTTAGCTTGGAAATAACATACTGCTTGTAGCTGGTCACAATTGGCTTTATCCAAATGACACAACTTGAGACTGATTAATCTTTTATTAATTCACACTAGAAATTGCAACTTCAGAGAAGGAGCAAAATCAATTCAACAAAGTTGAATTGGCTTTTCAGAAAGAGTTAGTTTCAAATGCAGATGTGAGAAAGCCTGTGTTAGTTACTTTGCTTGCTCAAAAGAACAAAAAACACATCACTATCATCCCTAGGTAGCATTTGCATGCCGCTTTAAGGTTTACAGGTACTTTAGGTATATTATCGCCTTTGATTCTGATAACAACCCTGGGAGTTAGGTCCTAATAATATTTGTATTTTACAGATGGAAAAATTGTGGCAAAGAGTAGTTAAGTTACTGTCCCAGGACCACACAGCTGGTAAGTGAGTCTAGGTTTGAACTCAGCTCTTCATGATACCAGATCTAATTCTCTATCTACTATATCAATTAACATTCCATAGTCTTATTTATAACCTTAAAAAGAAATATTTAACTTTAAGATTAAAAAAAGAGAAAATATGAAGCTACCTCATGCCTGAGATTTGATTGTCTTCTTATCCAATTACTCCAAATTAACATCTCAAGGCTTGGGAGCACATTTAATAAATCACTGATAAAATGGATACCTTAAAAACTGCTGAACTAGAGGATCCACATGATGTGATACCAGAGAATACAGGATCTGTTTTTAAACAGGAAAAGTCATGGTAAATGGTACATTGACTTTAACAGTGGGACATAGTTTCCTGGATTTAAAATCTCCTCAATACAGCACTTCCAAATCCTGTCTTCAGAACATCAATGCTCAGGTTGGAGATATTCTTTCAATTGTAGGGCTTTAGCTCTCCTTCCCCTTCTTCCTTCCTCCATAGGCAGGATCAAATTTAAGAAACAGAAAAAGTGATGGCATTATTGATAGAGAGATACTTCTGTTATGGATAATTCTTTTTGTGAAAACTCCAGCCTGTCTTTCATATCTTTCTCCTTTAAATGCAAATATATATTTAATTTGCTCTTTGGGCACTACAAGGACTTGGTGATGCAATGATCACAGAGAACTCAGCAAATGTATAATTGCTCTTATTAGGAATTTTGCCATAGTTGCAGCAAAATTGTTTCATCCTCTTACAAATGCTGATATTCATAAAAAAATAGACCTTATTCCTTTGCCTAAGCAAAAACTTTCTGTGATTCTCTTTACCCTTAGGATAAAATATAAACTTCTCTGACATATAAATCCTTTCACAATTTGGCTATTTCTGAGCTTTCTGGACTGGTAGAACATTTCTCCTCAAAACACACTTTCAAACTAGACATCCTTTGGACATCTTAGAGATAAGATATATAAAGTAAACTCATTTTCCACTCTAAACTCTTCTTTCTTCTGAACTGTCCTACTATTATTGAGTAGTAGGAATCATCCTCCTAGTCACTGAGATTCATAACGTAGGTATTACAATTGATTCCTCACTCTCTCACACCTTATATCCAACCTCTTTTGAAGGTTTGCTGATTTTACTTTCATTAAATGATATCCATATCTATATCAGAGGCCCTCATGCCCTCATGCCATGACTATCACCATAATTTACTAGTTGGCATCCTCACCACAAATGTCTCCCAACACTGCAGTCCATCTTTCAGTCACCTATCAAATTGATGTTCCTACAGGACCAATCTGACTAAGCCACTTAAATTTCAGTGTTTTCTTATTATTTCTAGAATTTAATATAATATACTGTTTGGTGTTTAAAGTTCTTCACATTCTGCACCTCTCTCAACTTTCTAAGATTTATGTACCTTATATTCCCCCCAACACCCACACACATTCTAAGATCCAGTGACACTGACTTCCTTGCTGTTTCTCATATAAAACCTTCCATAGTCTTGTTTCTGGCATTTTCGCTTGCTGGCCCTAATGCCTGGAATTTTTTCCCTCTTCATCACAATATCTGGGCTTCCCTCTAATCTCAACTAAAATTCCTTTTCCTACAAGAAGCTTTCCTGAATGCCCTTTACTTTTAGCATCATTCTTTCATTGATTATTCCCCATCTGTCCTATATATGTCTTATTCCTAAAGGATGTTTAAAGTTTGTCTCTTGTAGTAGAATGTGAGCTCCTTGAAAATGGGGAGATAATTCTGCATTTTGGGGGGGTCTTAAGTGTTAATACTGTGTTTGGGAAAGGGTAGCACTTCCTAAATATTTATTGATGGACTGATACCATATCCCATCCAGACTGGTCTAGTTGCTATTTCTTATGCACTAGATTCCCTCTCCAGCCTCCTTAACTTTGAACAGCCTGACCACCATCATTAATGTCATTATTGTTCATTCATTGCAGCTATGTCCAACTCTCTGTGATCTCATTTAGGGTTTTTCTTGACAAAGATATTTGAATGGTTTGTCATTTCATTCTCCAGTTCATTTTATACATTAAGATGCTGAGACAAACAGGTTTAAAAGACTTGACGAGGGTCTCACAGCTAGTAAATTTCTGAGGCCAGGTTCAAATTCACAAAAATGAGTCTTCCTGACTCTAAGTCCAACACTCTCTCCACTGCACCACCTAGCTGCCCACTATCATTAAGACTTTCCCTCTTTGTCTCTGCCATGAGGAATTCTTAGGATTATCCTGGCAAGGCTGAGATCAAGTGCTCACTCCTACACCAAGCCTAGCATGATGGCTCCAAGTTGTTAGCATTCTCCCTCCCACATATGACATTATCTATCTATGTATCTATTTATCTCTCTATCAACACACACATAATCACATATATAACATATATAGGTACACATCTATATATGTGTGTACATATGTATGTATATGTGTATGTGTATATGTATACAGATATAGATATAGATGTGTGTCTACATCTTTTTCCAAAGAAATATAAAATTTGTAAGGTCAATGATAACTTACTTTTTGTTTGTTTGGTTTGTTTTTGGGTCATCAGAACCCAGACCTACATTCTTCTCTTAAAAGAACT